TCGGTAGGAAGACTCTTCTTGACTCTGGCTGGCTCCTCACCAGTAAGCTTACAAATACTAACCCCTTGCTGCACATGCTTTTTTTCAGTCACTGATAGCTTAAACCAGATAGAAAAGGGAAAGGACAAGTAAGATCCAGGGCTTTAAAACAATATGGCTTGTATGCAAAATAATATCAAGCAAGATGAGCAATGTGGATGGGGAGCACATTTTGTTTAAGAGAAAAGGTGTCCTTCCTCTAGCATTGGACTCTCAACCAAGCATGAATCCAGCTGCAGTTGGAGCTATTCAGTAATCTATAATGACTATTTATTTGGTCCATGAATAGTTCCAAAAAAAATTCTTCATGTTGTAGGATAAATAAAGTAGCTTCATTGCTTTGTTGATGCTATTCTACAATTAGTTATAGTCCAATATCTAAGTACCATATGGTAGTCCCCGTCAACACAATACAGGTAGTCCTTGCTTAACAACCACAATTGGGCCCAGAATTTAGGTAGCTAAGCGATGCGGTCATTAAGTAAATTATCACGTGACTGCTTTGCTTAGCAACTACAATCCTGGCATTCCCAGCTGCCATTGTTAAGTGAGAATTGCAGGTTGTTAACAGATGGAGTCCCAGGTAAGGAGTGCAGAGGTGACTTAGGGCATGGGGGAGGCCCTGGGAAGCCCGGCACAGGCCACGCGTGAGTTGGGGGGGGGTGCTGCAGTGTGGTGCAAAGCTGCAGCTAACCCTGGAAGCCTCAGCCAGCCCAGCAGCACTTACAACTGCAGGGGTGTTGCAACTCCCCCCACCCGCCTATCTCCCCATTTCCATCTATGCCGTTTTGGCCGCCCTGCACAGTGGCATTTGTGGCAATGCTGGGGCTGGGGCTGAATTAGAGGCCTGAAGCCTTCAACAATCTCAGCCAGCTGCCACCACCTCCAGGCCTCAACTTCAGCCCCAGTGCCACCACTGCCACTGAGAAATGCCACCTCAAGCCCCACACTGCTGGCCTTTGCCTCCTTGCACTGTTCCCCAGACTGCACCTCTCGTTCCTTCCCTAAAGCTATCATCCCATTGTCCCATTCCTTCCCCAAGCCACACATCCCATACCTTCTGCAAGCTGGCATCCCATTCCTTCTCCAAGCCGTGCCTCTTGTTCCTTCCCCAAGCTGCGTGTCCCATGCCTTCTGCAAGCCGTTGTCCCATTCTTGTGATCCTTTGGAAACCTTGTGGTCTTCCCTAGGTCTCGCAAAAATGGGATACTGGCTTCAGAGAAGAAACGAGAGGTGCTGCTTGGGGAACAGTACAAGGTGGTGAAGGCAGCGGTGTGAGGGTTGAGGCGATATTTCTCAGTGGCAGCAGCAGCGCTGGGCTGAAGTTGAGGCCTGGGGGTTGTGGCAGCTGACTGATTGCTGAAGGCCTCGGGCCTCTACTTCAGCCCCAGCCCCAGCGCTGCTACCAGTGAGTGAAGGTCAGTCAAAAGGGCGTAGATGGGGGGGAGATACGCAGGTGGGGGGAGTGCAGCACCCCTGCGGTCATAACTGTGGGTGGGCTGCCAAGTGCCCAAATTTTGATCACGTGACCGCAGGAGCTCTGCAACAGCTGTATCTTTGGGCATGGTCATAAGTCCATTTTTTCAGCACCATCATAATTTCGAATGGTCGCTTAATGAATGGTTGTTAAGCGAGGAGTACCTGTAGGACTAACTTTGATGAAGGTAAGTTTTAGATTTGCATTATCACATACTTTGCCAGTTGTCCCTTTTTGGCACACTCACTGAAGTATCATTCATGCTGAGCTGAACAGTTATTTTTTTCTTAATCCAAGGCCCAAGCCATATTTGTTCAAAGGAGATCATAAATTCCCTACACTCAAGGAACCTGCCCTAGTAGTGATCCTTTATGCTGAAGTGGGTACAAAAGATTTTGCCACATTTCACAAAGTCTTATCTGAAAAAGCACAAAAGGAAGAAATTGTTTACATTCTCCGACATTTTGTCCAGGTAGGTATTTGTGGAAATGTTATTGTTAACTAAAATTAAAATAAAGTGATTTTCTTTCAAGTTTCCAATGCGCTGCAGTGTTTAATACTTAATTCTTTCCTTAGATTTCCAAGTTGTGTTGTGCAGAGCGTATTGCAGGTTGACCATGATGCAGGTGCCAAAATAAAAATATTTTTTTGAAATGGACAGAACCTCACAAGATGGGCCAGAATCTTACAAAATCTTGTGATATTTGATGATATTGTCAGGTTTTACAGTATCACCAAATAATAATAATAAATGGATGCTGTATGTGGATGTTGCATTGTTGACCCCTGGTCCAGAGATGTTTCCTGTGACCTTTTTGTCTATATAAATGAAAGGGTTTTGTACCATTGTTTTACACAAAAGTGGGATATGGTACCTTTCTCAAGAAGCATTAACTGTACATGGGAAGGGAATGTTGGGTTGAATAATGATTCAATTTGTGCACAGAGACTACTGTAGGCATGTTCTTTTTATAAGGCCTAGTTAAGAATGAGCAATACTCATCAAGATTGTCTTCAGACACTGATTTCAAGAGCAGTGTTAGAAATGCCCAACTTTAAAAGAAACTTACTTCATGTTAGCTATGGTTATAACCTCTGTGTATGTGTGTGTGTGTGTGTGTGTGTATGTGTGTGTGTGTATGCACTGTATGTATGTATATGCATATGCATATGTATATGTATATGTATCTGTACATATAAAATGCTACACGAGGATTAGAACAAACCATAAAAAGAATGGATCATTTGTGAGGCAGAGAAAGTGTGTTAAGCCTCAATATGCTTCATGTCTCCCAACTGTGGCTAGAAATTTCTACATACTAATAGGCTGGATCATGCATCGTATTAAGCTGTGGTTTGGTTTCATGATTTTTTTGAGTAAGGCACTGCCCAGTTAATATATTTCTTGTGTATTCTCCTGTCTTTCTTCCATCAGTAGAGGGGTACAAGTATGTTTTATAAGTAATAGTAATACTTCCCAGGTTCTCCTGTTCTCTACTACTGGTGCTTTGGCGAACTCTATACTTCCTTCTTCCAGATGATGTCTCTTGAAGAAGGCCAGGGAGAATTAGTGCTGCCTTTAGAACACTCTTGATTGAAATGTAGTAATCAATGCATCCAGTCTGCTGGATTCAGTTTTATAAGTCATCCTTTATCTGTTTTGGCATGCTGATGCCTATGATACACAGTTTGGGGGATGGAATTAAAGCAGTTCTTCATCCTGTGTGCATGTACTTAATCAGAAGAAAATTCTATGTGCCCACTGGTCTTTAGTCTTTTTGGGAATAACATGGATAACAAAGTCAGTTACAGGGAATACTTTACTTCATATGATCTAAGTGAATAAACAATATTATTCATTTGAATTTATTAGCCGCCCACCTCCAATAACTCATAGGAGAACTGAATATCCTGCAGAATTATATAATTGGCTTCTCCCTTGCTTTGTTAGAATCTTTATTTTCCATTATTTCTTGAATTCACCTCTTTTCCTCTCTCTGCCTCTGAGTAGGCATTTGTGAAGTTCCTATTTTATTAACTGGCCCCTGGTATTCATTCACAAAAACAAGAAGTCCACTGTGGTACAAGATTCCTTTTTTTTTTTTTGGGAAAATAAGTCTCTAAAGCTGGGTGTAAGTGTTCATAGTTACGTGATCAGATGATTATAATTTTGGCCCAGATTTCCCAACATAGTAGGACATAAGTAGAGTTTGGTTTTAGAAAGTTATCAGAGTTCATATTTATCATTAAATCAAATGCCAGCTGTGACTTCATTATCAGTTGCTTAATTAAATTAAACTAAATTAAACTCCAATCTAATGCATATTAACTCAAGATTTCTGTAGTTTCAGTAGACCTTGATGTTTAGCAATGATTTCTTTTTTATAGTAATTTTATTAAAGACTACAATTTACAGCAATAAAAACTAATACCAACTAAAAAAAGAAAAGAATAAAATGAAAAAAATGAAGGTGCAGAAAAGAAAAAAGAGAAAAAAATAGAGAAGAAAGAAAAATAAGAATATAGTCATGAAAAAGAAAAGAAATATATAAAGAAGTGACTTCTCCCTTCATCACAACAAATATAAGCAATTTTAGTAACTTATCTTCTCTTAAAATACAACAAATAATCTCTTCTTCCCATAGCCCATCTCTTATCTATAAACAAGTCCATAAAATCTTGTCATTTCAGTGGCATTTGCTGAGGTCAGCAAAAGTCCATTAAGGGTTACCAGAAATAACAACATACCTATTTTAACCTTGATAAATAAACCAACTTTATACTCCTTCCTTTTACTTCTAACAATCTTGATCTTTAGTCCCTTCAAATAATGTCCCAGAACTTGATTTCTTTTCATTTTTTCTTTATCCCCTTTTCACAAAATTCTTCAAAGCTTAGCAAGCCTCTTTTGTAAATTCAATATAGGAAAATTATCCAGGTCATTCTCTTGGTTTGTTATTTGTATATTCCTTTTAATTATTAAGACACCAGCCAGTTTCTTTTGAATGTTCAATGTAACATCTTTTTCCATGTCATTCTTGTAGCCTGTCATTTTTAAATGCACTTTCAAATCAGTCTCAGTAATGCCAGATAATACTTGTTTCTCTTCCATAGCATCTTTTAAACACAGCCTACAGGTGAAACTCGAAAAATTAGAATATTGTGCAAATGTTCATTTATGTCAGTAAGGCAACTCAAAAG